TTAGGATCCTTTCACAACCCAGGCACTGAATTTGGTGCTGCTTCCCCAGCTGCTCCCGTGCAGACATGGCTAGGCTAATAATTTTGCCAGCCTCGAGCATGAAAATTCAACAAATATTCAAGATGTGAGAGGTGTCAGGAAATGATCGGCAAAAGTCGTGCTCTGTGTCACATCGGAGCGGCAACTTTGCATCCTCATTTTATTGTTTTCTGGTAAGGTGGCCGATGTGGCCTTTTAACTTAGAAAGTGAGCTGTGGGCGGATGAGCCGAGGTGAAACAGGCACGGCTGCTCAATGCAATCACTAGAAAACTGCTGATTGTACTCATCTGTAGGGCAGGCAGGAGATAATTTTAGAGCGGAGGCAGGAAGTTAGGAGGGTGCTGAGAGCAATGCGCAGCGGGCACCACTCACCCTTTTCTGAAGCACACTGAGAGCTTCACTTTCGCACTGCCAGGCTGTAAACAACACCACTAAGGCACATCTAGTCACCACAGCTCCGTACCCACAGATTCAAAGGACCCCCGCCCCCACCAAGTCACTTGTCTATGTGGCCAGGTTTTCAGAGGAGCTCAGCACCCTGGGAGCTTGTGCAGGTGTCTGCAGGGAGGCAAAGAAGCTGCAGAAAGCTGGCTCTACGAGTGAAGGCTGTGCACTTGGAAATCTGGCCCTATGGGTCGCAAAACACATCTCAAAACAAAAGTTGCCCAGCATATCAACACCATTTTAATAAATACTAGAAGTAGTGAAACGGTTTTTTAATAATGCTTTGACAATTAAGAAGCCTGACAGAAACAGAAACCGGAAATACTTTATCATCGGCTCTTTGCAAAAGCGTCATTCCAGTAAAAGAAACACATTAACTTTCCTTTTTCCATCTTATTAAATATTTCCTAGACAAACTAGCCTGTCTTTGCTTAGTCTAGTATCACTACTTGTCTAAATAAAATTCAAAGAAAAACTTTTCTATGTTCACCATTCATGATATCAATATTCATTTGATAACAGAAATCATAGAAAGCATTTGCTGCTATCTGCAAAAAATAAGTTATTGAACACGTTTCCTCCATTTTGATGTACCTACTTTAAAAGAATCTGAATAAACAGAGATCTAACCCTTATCATTTGGTGTGTTATTTAAAGTCTTCTGAGCTGGAGAACTCCTTCAGCTTTCTTAGCAGATGAAAGCACAGGATTTGGAACCACAGCAGACGTGTCTGATTGTGTGCTTCTTCAGCCTCTCCAGATCAGTTTATACCTCAAATGCTACTGCTTACATCTAGTGATTTCAGAAGACTATTCCTCCTGTTTGAAAAGCATACATGGGCCAATGGTATAATAAATTCATAGAAGCAAAATGATACAGAGTCATAAACAGAAATGAAAACCAAGCGTTCTTCTAGAGGGTAGGGTTCACAAATGCAGGGTTCACCAACAGTTTTCCAAAATGTTCTGCTGCACATAACAGAGACACAGAGCACAACCTGCACAGAGCTGCAGCAGGGGAGGGACTTTAAAAGGCAAATATCCAAGTGTCTCCTCATTGTACTTTGCTCAGACTCCTGACTGTAGTGTCTGGTCATGCGCCTTCCTCGTCACATTGTGATGGAACGTGGCAATGCAAAACATATTAGTACTTACCATATGAGCTGCAGGATTCACCTGTGCTAGAATGGTATGGAAACTACTTATATTTCTGTGCCAGGCATGTCTGGGGAGGAGTCTTGAGAGCCAACAGCCTGCAGGCTCCAAGACAAAACTGATATGCAGTTGCTCAGTGATGTGTAATATTGAAGCAATACTTTAAAAAAAATGACATTACAGCCATTTCCGTACAATATAGGCTAATACAGGATCCGGGGATTGCTCAAATTCAGCAGAACAGTAAATCAAAATTTCAATTAGAAGTGGATTATGAGTATTTGGGTTTATGGCCTGTCCCAAGCCAAAGACTTAAGCAAGCCCGTTTTCCAGACCTTGGCTCTCATTTGTGAAGCCTCTACTTTCTGTTTTGTTTTGTTATTTAAACTTTTCATTTGCAGAGCAGTAAGATTTTCATTTTTACAGCAGGTTTTTTCTTTCTGAGGCAAGAATTCACGTTCATCAAGTAAGTCCCTGGTCTGCAAAACACTTGAGCTAACACAGAGGAGAAGTACAATCCTGCCACATCTCCGCAGCACGGGAGAAGCCTTATGGTGGCGAAACCATAACACTCTGTTGGAGTGGGCAGCTTGTGCTGGCTGCATGTCACAGAACTGTACTCCATGGAGACGCTATAGGACCATTCACGGGAGGTGGGATGAGTGAGGCCACGTGTCCCTGGATCCACTGGCAGTTTTCCCCTAGGGAATGAGGAGAAACAGGAGCTACAGGAAAAAAACCACCCTACTGCTCTGCAGTCAGGGTGGGAACCGCACAGCGAGCCCATGGCTCTCCTGCTGGTTGTACCATCTGCGCGTGCCCACACCCACCGAAGGAGCACGGCCAGTGGGCTCACATAATATTTAGGCTTTAGTCCATATACAGTATTTTGCTTTGGCACAGTCCAGTTGAGCTGTAAAATATACATCTAATGTGCGTCATGCAGCTTTTAAAAGATTCCTCATGCAGAAATACCTGCAAAATTATGGTAGGCACCGAAATGTTAGCATTTTGACTAGTCCTGAAGCACAGAAGGAGAAGCTTACAGGATACCATCTGATTTGTGTAAAACCACATCTTACACTTGATGATCACTCTGACATTTGCCTGTCAAAAACCTACACCTCCTATGTTCATGGGATTTGTTTAAACAAGAGACAAAGTGTTACCTGCACCAAAATAGTGCTTATCTCCTTCACATTTTTTTACACTGATCACACAGTGGTTGTTGACTCAACTATTTTTTTCTTCATGAGCTAAACTTTGGTTTTCTACAATGTCTTGAAACATTAATAGAATGTTGTGACTGAAATCAAATAAAGCAGAACATCCTAAAATGACTCCTAGAAATACAGCAGCATAAATGACTGATTCAATCATTGTGTATAGTTTCTGAATAGGTAGTCAAGGTGATTGTTATCTTTGAAAGGCACAATGGAAACAACCACCAGCAACATAAGGACAAAATCTTACAGCTATAACACAGGCATTACAAAAACATACTATACTATTAATTCTGATGATTGCAGAAGCACATTCACTCTTGTCACTGTTATGAAAGAGTTTGCAAAGAATGTAAGGTGTTTTTCAATTACCTGTATGCACATATACATATATATTAAGAGAACATGAGTGAAGAACTAAACAGGAATGGGGGGAAGGCATATTTACTATTCAATACTTGCTTCCCTTTCCCCTATTCTCGTGTTATTTTTTTTTTTCAGGTTTCTCTACACTGAAACAAAAATATTTCACAGGAATTTAAATCAGTACAGTAGACTAAACAAGATTCCCAAAGTTTTCAACAATTACCATAATTAAAGATGTCTTTGCAGAATAAAGCCTAGGCTGGTTCTCTGTTGCCTGTCACTAGGTAGCTATTCCCATCGCTTCACATCAAACGAAACATCAAATGTTTCAAACTCAGAGTGGTGGTAGCATAAACCAACTTTGCAGCAGTGAATACTATTCCCATGTTTTACAATAAAATGGTAAAAAATGGCCTATGTAAAGACCAGAGAGGAAAGATGCTGCTTAACAAACAGCAGTTAACAACAGACATGTATTTGAAAAACTTGAGGGTAATTTGGGTGGCAAGGCAATACCTGTCGGCCTCTACAACAGATTTTTGTTGCTGAAAAGTGTTGTGCAAGAGAATAACAACTCTTTTTCTTTCCAATATAAGAGATGAACAGCCTTTAAATATACACAGACATACCCACTGGGGATGAAGTTTGCATAAGTAGGCTGATTCAGTGAAGCATAGCTATGCAGCACATATGCAATAAGCAGTCAGTTGCCCATGTTAGGTTTCCTGTGCTTTTATTTTAAATTAAAGTCCTGATAAAAGTCTGGAGTGCATGCAAGCTAACTAGGTGAAATTCCAAATGTGTATTTTATGGTGTTTCACCTGCAAAAATTTGGCAGGTCTCATCAAGTCATGTGACATGACTCAAATATTGCTCTGTGGGAATTTACCTCAGAAGGACTATTTTCACTTGGAAAGTCTACAAAAAAGCATGAACCTAATCATTTTTCTAATTTATCTGCCTTCCAAAACAACAACAGTAAAACAACCACCCTTTTTCCCTACTTCCCCCCCCCCCAAATGTTCTCAGAAAAAGAGTAATTTAAAATTAAAAAAAAAAAAAAATCTAAACTTACTTGCTATTAAAAGCCTGCTTGGAATTCAGCTAGTGTGAGTACTTTATTGTCACTTCACAGACACCAATATAAGCTTCCAAAATAAACTGGCACACGTTTCTGAACATTTCCTATACATGAAGCATTTTGTATGGAGCACTCTGATCTCCATCCACATTGTACTTTGCATTGCTACCCAAGAGCGGCATCAGCCTGGAGCGTTGCTTTCACCCCGCATGAGACAGCAAGGTGCAGGATGACTGGAAAGAGAATCCCCACACCACCTCCAGCTCAGAGCCCAGCATGCTTACAGTGCTGTGGTGCAAATTCAGTAGTATTATTCAAATGCAATGATGTACCCTCTGGGGCCACAAAGTCAGACCAAGGGTTTACAGCAACTTAGCAGAGAGTTCAACACATTCACAATTTCTGGCTACACATGTGAGTGTGTGCTGGGGCTCTTCAGCTCCCAAAAGCAGGAAAAGTCCTTGTTCCAACAGGTCTCTGCCACCAATACAAAAGAAAATAATCTGCAGAGAAGGTCTCATGTGTGGGCAGCAGAGAGAAAGGCAGCTCTCATGGTTTGATTCTCACTCTCATTTTATAGCACCAGGTATACCTCCAAATTACTAAAAAGTTATCAGATTCACGTATCTTTCTAAGTAATCATCATTATCTCTCATTTTTACTAGCAGAGATAGGGAATATATTTTGTTACCATTAGCAGGAAGATAGGTGAAAAGCTGGTACTGGCTTCTCTTTCTTTTTCCGTTGCAGACATAGAAGTTAACCTGAACAGGGCTGGTAATTCTCTGATTGCGGAAAGGTGGTATCTCAACCACCAACGAATTCTGCAAAGCAACAAATCAGAAAGTCAAGGCACAACTAAGGCATTCAAGCTGTACAACAGAATTCACATATTAACTCTGAGAAGGAGTTGCCTGGGCTCACAAGAAGAAACACACTCTCTGCAGGGAAACTGGTTGGCTTCGTGGGCAGGGATGGCCTCCTGCCGCCCCAGTGTCCTCTGTGCCAAGGACTTAAGAAGTAGGTAAATAAGATTTTAGCATGGCTAAGGTCTTTACAAAATCACTAGCCTTCACCTCTTCTCTTTGGACAGCTAATACGGTACCGCTTATGGACAAGGCTCTATCTGTCCTGCCTCTGACAAGAATCTGGGACAACAATCAAATCTCTGACCAGCACAAGAAAACACAACTGCTCAGCTGGCAGGTCATCCCCAGTATATCTCACCATAACACAACTTCCTTTGAAAGGAGAATTAGGACACGCATATGATTATTCAGATATTTCCATTTTCCACAATGAAATGTTTTTTCATGTTAACAACTCAGGAAGTTTTAAGCATGCTAGTTTCTGTGGATGGGAGATCTTACAAGAACATCTAGTGCTACAGGAAGAAGGGCTGGAGAGTGTGTAGATGATCTTCCACTGTCAGAAACCAAATGCTCCAGCATGGGGCTAAGGAATGACTTAGCTGCTAGGGCATCAGCTTACACAAATGCACAGTGAAATCTGCTATGATGATCAAAATCTCCCTTGGCACTTTTTGCAAGAATAAAAGGGAACGCTCATCTTAGCATTTGGTCTGCATTCAGCTGAAGTCTTTAAATTGTTTGTCTGCATATCTCCAGCAGGTTTGCAGTAACAAACTGTTGCATATTCCTGCAGAGGTGGAATAGTGGCCATATTTCCCACTTATAGTCATGGCTGAGAGAACCACACTTCTCCAAATGTGGGGCTGATCTCCTGTGAGGGGACTCACATTTCTTCCATCGACTGTAGACGAAAGCCAAGGAAAATGATCAGAAACTGCTTTGGGAGCAGAGGGAAGAACTGACCCAGCAAGACAGAAGATGAGCAGACGGGGCTGGCCCATCCTGGACAATGAAAAAATATTTTCCAAATGGTCTCTCCTACTTTTGGGACAGCTTCCAACAAAGGCTTTTTACCCCATGCTCCCATTAAAGAAAGATTTCCAGGAGGGGAGGCCTAAGTACTTGTTCTGTTTCAGTGGGGAGACACAGTGCCAAAGCCTTGGAAATCCCTCTTTAGTAACAGTGCTGGAGAAGGCAATATATATTTTTCATCTTGATGTTAAAATATTTAAGGCAGACTTACTGGCTTGCACATTTCTTTGTCGGTTTTGGCTTCCATTTCCCACACATGGTGACCATCTAAAAGACAAAAGAAAAAGATATCTAGTTCCGTCCTTTTTTCCTCTCCCAAGCCTACGAAAGAATGACTTTTGCAAAAAAGTCTCTTTGAAGGGGCACTGCATATATAAAAACCAGCTCTCAAAATGCACTGACCAAGCGTTGCCCAACCAGGAGGCCATCTGGGTAATCCACGACGGGAGACCACTTAGCTTTTTTGAAGGGGGAAACCACAATCCAGAGCACATGATACTGCGATGGGGGAATGTCACCAAGATTTTATTCTGCCACTAGTTAGGACAAAATATGCAACTATTCTGTACCTTAGTTTCCCAAACTTTCAGACAAAAATACTGCTACCTATGAGGCCTTCTGATCACTACCTATGCAGTACGTCACATTTAACATTAATACTAAACAAAATAAAACAAAGTAGTATTAAGGAAGCTCCTCAGCCATGCAGTATTTCATTTTAATATACTCCTAGTCTGGCTTGTCATAATTCTGCTGCTTGGATCAAAAGGGAAGGCCATAGGCTGGGAAACATAGCTTTTGACTCCATTTTAAAGTTGGTTTAGCTCAGCTACAGTGGTCCCATCTACAGTTTTCTGGAGCTGCTTCTAGTGGTGTGTTGGATCCTCCTAATTTACTGTATTTCTGTTTTCAAGCAAACATAGATTTAAGCCACAGATATCACTTTTTCTGGGGACCTGTCTTTTGGAAGAAATTGTTTTTTTCTGGTGATTTTTCCTGCGCCTCACTGATACAGAAGACACTGGTCAACAACAGGGGTTTTTTCTTCCTTGTAGCTTCAAAACTCAACAGCAAAGAAATTAGAAAAATAATACAAAACATAAGGTTTCCATTCTGCAGGCCTAGAAAAACACAAACGTGTATGAAAGGCCACAAGCAGACTGCTGTCTAAGTCGGGCAGCGGGGACACATGCAGCTTCATGAGTCCCACCATTGTCAGATGTCATCAGAATGAAAGGGAAAATGAGACTTTATGTCATCTCTTTTGTATATTTATTGCAGCATCGGGACATGCAAATGCAAATATTAGCTATTTTGAACTTCATCACATAGACGTGGGCCTGCCTTAGAAAAACAGCTCTCGGCAAGGTAAAAGAGTGAATGCACTTTTTCTTCTCTCTTTGCTTTCATGGCCAGGATGGAGGTGACGCATTTAGAACTGCCTGATTTATTACAAACGTCTGTAAATAATATTTTTGTGTACAGCTGTCCTACTGTGAAAGGAATGCTGCTGAGGGACTAGCCCTGGTGATTGTTTTAACGTCCAAAACCCCTTTCTTTTTAACGTATGGAAAGAAGTGGAACGTGAAAGCTACAGCACAAATAGCACAGTGGATTTGGCAGGTCTTTCTGTAGGAAACAATTAGCAGATCTGCCCTTAGTTTCCTCCTACATTTTAAATTGTGATGCTGGAAAAGGAATCCCTTTAATTGGTACTGCCACGTTCGGCTGTGGGGAGAGAAGGAGCAGCCAGACTGTGTTCAGGTCTCCTTAACGATGCCTTTTGAGAGCGCCAGAATTGAAGCAGACTTCTTGGGAGGACTGGCGATCACTTCACAATTTATCCAACAGATGCTTACCCCGAGCTGTCAGTAGAAAAAACCTGACCAAAATTTGGCAAGCCAGGACACATCTCTTGTCTGGGAGTAGCCTCCTTTATCTCCCACCTCGTCCTCATAGAGCCTCTGTAGCCCTCCCTTGCCCCACCCAATTAATTCAATCAGTTATAAAAGTAACACAACACCGACACTATCACACATTTTGCAAAGTCTAGGAACTTCTGCTTTGTAAGGAGTTTGTTGGTGGGGTTTTTTTAAATCTACAGACATCCAGACTAGTAGTTAACATGTGTTCAATTTGCTTTTGTAAATGGATTACCAGAAGTTCAGGTTTTTCATTATGTTTAATTTCTGCTTTGCAAGACGAATGATCTGATTCAGGTTTCTGTTTTTTATTTCCTGCCGATACTTCAGTAAAATTCAAAACGACTCCATCTCTGGCTAATCTTTCAATTACTTCACACAGCACTGCCTTTACGCACTTTTGAAATTTTTATGATGACAAAGAGAGTTTGTTCAGAAATATTCTAAATGCTGTAATCTAAACTATTAGGAAAATAAAAATCCAGAGCCGTGGCTTGTCTTTGGAAGCTAGTAAGAACAATACGGGTTTCGTTCCAAGAAATTCCCTTGAGACTGTCCAGACCATCGCAGCTCAGCGACTGAGGGGAAGGGGAAGAGAGGGAAGAAGTAGGGAATAGACAACTCATTAACAGCTAGTGACATTTCATTTAACAAAAACACAGTGAGGAAAAGTTGTTATGAAGCAGAGACAAAAAAAAAAAAAGACAATTCCTCATATTACGTCTGGTGAACCAAGAGGGAAATCTCAACGCCCACGGACTGGGACCAGCTCCAGGAGGGAAACCTTAGACCACTACGTCAACTTCTTACAGTAAACATGTTTTGCAGGTTTACACAGTTCAGCTGAAATAAAAAAAAAGGAAAAAAAAAAAAAAGAGAAAGGAATAATGGCTCTGGAACAGTCGGTGGGAGCCTGAAGCATCAAGACAATCTGCCTGCACTGGAGAAAACGGTTTTGCCCCCAGTGCCCATACGTCGGGGACCCTGGCGAGCAGGCGGGATGCCGCCTCCCATCAGTGTGTGCTGGAGGAGCGAGGGCTGCTCCACAACAAAAGTTTCCATTGTACGCCTGCCACATCTGCAGCAGCCCGCCTGGTTCGGGGCCCGAGGCAACTCCCTCCTGGCCACTGGCCAACCAAAGTACACCAGAGCAATTTATACCTTTCCAAAATGCAAATAATTCAAATTACAGACATAACACAAAGCTGAAGCAGACACATTTCAGGCATTCCCGTTAAAGTTTACTCTCTGGAATTACCGTACCCAAATGGGCAGTTGTTATACAGGGAGGAGGGGAGACGGAGGCAGGAGAGGAAGGAGAGGAGGAGGCAGGGAGGAAAAGGGAGAAAACGGCTTTTCCAAAGGTCTCATTTCACTCCTTTTCATTTTGCTATTTACTTTTACCAAGTAATAAGAAGTGTCCTCTCCAAATCAAATGCCTGGCTTTGTTTGGGAATTTTGAAGATTTATAGTGCAATATTTTGAACAGAAAGGCATCTCTTTATATAGCTAAAAAGTTGTGTCTAGGTATTATACTGAATTTGGTTTATTTTGTGGGTTTTTTACAAAAGGGAAATAAAAACAAAACATCCACACACAAGAACCGCAGGGCAAAGGCCCTGCAGAGTCCCCGGCGGAGTGCCCCGCTCCCTCAGTGTCAGCAGCAGCAGCAGTGGACCCGACAAAGCCAAGGCTTCACCTGGGGACCCATGCCAAAGGCTGGACGAAGGACCCTCAAATCCCTCCTCCTCCTCAGAGGCAGTGCAGGAGTGCAGCAGTGCCGGGGGAGTGAGAAAACCCCCGTTTTGCATGGGTTCTCCGACTGTGCCCAGGCTCGGCACTGCACTGACAGGTGGCCATCAGTGCTGCCGCCAGCTGAAGACACCGAGTTTTGTCAGGAAGCCTGACATTTACAGACTGATCGCTGTTATTTATAGCCACCCCTGCTTCGGGTGCACTTCACCAGCCACTTCAGCCTTTTTTTTTTTTCGGTGCTGTGACACTCAGAGCACCTGGGACTGCTAATGACGAAAATACCGCGAACCTACCGCGTTACGTGGGGTGGATTTTCAGCTTTGCAAAGCATAAACACCCTGTTTTAACATGCGGCAGCTGAATGGTGAATGGGCCTTTGTGGTCTGCTCTTATCAGCTGCTTGCTCCGGCGTGAAAGGAAACTGCGCACAAGTCCAGAAGTAAAAATACTCTAATTCATCAGGGAATTCCCTGCAGTATGAGTCACTGAACGGCTTCCCCACCACACCCAGCTACAAGATTTCCACATAAAAAGGCACTGTAGAGGCCTGTTTTAACACAGAAGCAGTGCTAAAAAGTAGTTGTGTAAATCTAGCACATCAGTTATTCAGACATAAAGCCTAGCAGACCACGACATATGGATTTTCTTCATGGAAGAGCAACACAAAGAGCTGTAAAGACTTTCCAAAGAAATTTTTCTACCATCTTCCCCTCCTCCCTGCCCATCAGGACAGATCCCCCAGGGTTTCTAGGGCTGGGTTTACCTTCATACCCCAGGGAACTGCAAGTGTGATGCCAGGGGTTTGCAAGCTCACAATAGTTAAACCATCAATGTAACTTTAATTACAGACCGATGGATGGCAGAAAGGGGAAAGAATATACAGTACCAAAAAACCCCCGAGCCTAGAAACTGGGGAGGGTGTAACATCTGGCAACCACCTAAACCTTGCCTCTATGAAACGGGTATAATGGGAGCGTTCAGATATATTTAAGTGATTTCACTTTACTATAGCAGGTTAAAACAGTCTATATTCTTTAGTAGCCCTGTGTTCACTTGAGATACAAGAAGAATAGACATTATCTAGGATTTCACTGCCTGTAAACAGTGTACATTTTATACTCTTCCAGTCTGCAGGTCAACAGAGTTTGGCTGCACTGGCTGGACTATAAATCTATATTTACATTCATACATTGCAAGTAAGATGGTGAAACTAGCTCTACCCTCCCCAAAGGAACCCAGTACTTGATTAATGTGTTGTGAGACTACCCTCACCAACAATGCCTATATTACATCCCAGATTACTTCAACATGTCCACAAGAGGCAGGGCACAGATGCAATGCAAAATGATTATACAGCATAATTTTGAGGTGCTCTGCAAAGGTGGTCTACCTTCCTATTTGGTCCTTTTAATGCATATTCAAATCCCTTAGGAGTGAAAGATTTGCAAGTTTTCAATTTACACTCCAACCCCTTTTCACTAGGAAGTACACTTACGGTGCTGAGACAACTGATCTGTGAACAGGTGTGGAAGGAAAGGATGGGGAGAAGAGGATGAAGACTTAGGCAAAGTCTTGTTGTTAGACTTAAGA